TTACTTCCGTTCCGCCCGGAGCATTCGGCAATGCTCTGTCCTCGGGACTGAGGACAGAGAACTCGAGGGGCCTGAGGATGTTTAAACTCGTGCCTCAGGGCACCGTGGCGGATATCACGTCGAGAAGCTGCATGGATCGGGCGAGCCTCGTGGACAACTGCGGCGCTAGCCCCATGCCACCCGGGAGCGCACTCGTCTCATGGAAGTGGCACACCCCGACCTGGTTCTGCTTGGATGAGATCCACGTCATAGAAGAAGAAACACCGCCGTGAACATAAACTGTTGGCGCTCCGCGCGGAGTTCTCGAATCCGCGCTGGGCCCCACTGGCGGCGCCTCTGGCGCCGTCCCTAGCGCGCTACGCGCGCCAGGAAGGGGGGTCTGGTGCGGATCCAAGAACTCCGCGCGGAGCGCTCAAAGTTTATGTTGATAGCGTCACGGCCACAACGGTCGGGAGCCTCCATCTCGGGCCTCGAGATGATCGATCATATTCGTGACATGATCGAGGGCACGCTCCAGAAGATGGTGACCGACAATCGGGACGCCTGTGGGGAGCACGTCGTGGGCGCATGACAGCGTGACAGCTTCCACGTGCCAACCGCACAATGCCAACCATTTCGGACCCTGAGAATCAGGGCTGGACCTAAACGGTTTTTTGGTGACCTCGTGGGCCGTTTTCGTTTCGACTTCGCTTTGCCGTAAAGGCGGATTCGAGACAAAAGCGATGGAAAACGAAAACATAACGAAAGCGAGAAACACCGTTTAGGTTCAGCAATGCTGAGAATGGATCTTGCGGATGGATGGGTGATTTGAAGCGTGGGTTGCGGTTGGCTGGACGCGATTGCTCCAGGAATTTGTGCTAGGGACGTTGCGAAGATGTCTTCTTACCTACCGTTCCGCCTTCCTCCCTCGCCGTTCCTTCATCCTCCTCCATCTTCGTCCTATCCCCCTTACGTTCCCTGCTTCATTGCCCGCGGTATTCCGCGAGCTCATTGGTGCCCTAGACGCAGGGTCTTGCGTTGCCTTTTCGGGTCGTCTTGGCCACCCTCGCCGCGCATGCGACCTGCATTTGAAATTACGACCGAACAAGCATTGCCCGCGGTGGGCGCCGACATTCGTCTTAGCCCACGCCGGCTCATGAACCATTCAGTTTAGACATTTGTCCACATCAGCGCAACGCGCACTTATCCTAGCCGTTGTCTGATTGAGATACGTACGCGTCGGTCGCAGTTGTTGTAGCATCGGCCCACGCCAGCGCATTGTCTTCCAGCTGTCAAGGTGTGCCCACAAGTTGTGCAAAGTGTCCGCTGCACTAGTCGATCGTGGAGTACGAAACATAGGTCAGCACCACCAGCATTCCCAACCTGTTGTTAATGAAATGTGGTGCCCTACGTCTTTGGAAGGCTGTTGGCCACTCGGGAGTCTCCTTGGGTGGTTCGTGGCTACTTGGGGCCGTTTTGAGGTGGTCATGTGGCTTGCTTGGTGTATGTCGGGGCACGACTTTGGACGCCGTCGCAAGCTATCTGACCCGAGAGGCCCAGCAGACTTGCCATCTCGGAAGCCAGACTTCGCAGCGTGTCGGGGGCAACACGTCCATGCGCCGGTCAATTGCTCGGGGGTAAGGAGCATATGTACAATCAAGAAGCTGAAATATGGACGACTTCCCTGGCATTTCTCGGACGTGCGCATTTTTTCTCGGCGAGGGCCATCGAGGAGCATCTTGGATCACGTGGCAGTCAAGAAGCTGAAGTATGGACAACTTCCCTGGCATCGCTCGGGCGAGTGCATTTTTCCCCAAATTAGGCTTGCCTCAGGGGTTCTTACTTGGTTGAAGGTTGGTGTCTCGGGGGCTTACTTTGCCCGTTCCCCCGAGATTCTTCGGGTTCCCCAGGTTCAACGCCCCCGGTACCTCCTATTCTCACGTTGACCGTTTCTCGGAGGTTCCTCGGGTTCCCCAGGTTTCTCGGTTTCCCCAGATACCCCGGGTTCCTCGGGTTCCCCAAGTTCCTCGGGTTCCCCCTGGTTCCCGATGCCTCGTACTCTTAACTTGCCCGTTTCAAGCAATGCCGAGCAATGCCAAGCACTGCGCCCATGCACTTCATTTCTCGGCGAGGACCCTCGAGGAGCATCCTGGATCATCTGGCAAAACAAGCAGGCACGACACAGAAAAATGCACGAGGAATGGATGAATGGACGTCCGAGGAGGAGGAGGAGGAGGAGGAGGAGGAGGAGGAGGAGGAGGAGGAGGAGGAGGAGGAGGAGGCCCGTCCTCAGCTCCAGGTCGGGGAAACTCGCCGTGGCCGGGGCTTGGCGTTGCCGGGGAAGCTTGCATGCCTTACTCCGTCCCTTATGGCAGCGCGTTGACTGTACTGTCAACGCGCCTGCTAAGGACGCGCGCCATCATCTAGGAGGAGGAGCAGGACGAGGAGGAGAAGGAGGAGAAGGAGGAGGAGGAGGAGGGGGAGGAGAAGGAGGAGGAGGAAGAGGAGGATGAGGAGGAGGGGGAGGAGGAGGAGGAGGAGGAGGAGGGGAGGGAGAGGAGGAGGAGGAGGAGGAGGAGGGGAGGAGGAGAGGAGGAGAAGGAGGAGGAGGAGGAGGAGTTGGAGGAAGAGTTGGAGTTGGAGTAGGAGGAGGAGGAGGAGGAGGAGGAGGAGGAGGAGAAGGAGGAGGAGAAGGAGGAGGAGGATGAGTTGGAGCAGGAGGAGGAGGAGGAGGAGGAGGAGGGGGGTACTCTCATGTGCTTGCCTCTGCTGCTGGTCCCTTTCAATTTTCACGGACCCCTCCCTGGGTTAGGTTACCGTTGCGGCCCTGGGATGTTGGTCGCCCGCCGCCAAATAAACATCCCAGCTTCGGCGTCGACGGGTCTTGCATCCGTACCACCCGTCCTTAATACACCTTTTGATGTTACGCCATCTGTCAGCAAGAGAGATCTCCACTCCGCACTCTCAGGCGGCGGCCGGCGCTGCCGCCTACGGCGCGTACGGCAGTGGGGCGTACGGCGGCGGAGCTTACGGCGGCGGGGCCTACGGCGGCGCCGCCGACTACTACGGCGGCGGTGGCGAATGGGGTGGCGGTGGAGCGTGCCCCCCTTGGGGAACGTTCGCAATGAGGCTTGCGCTCCCCCTGGGAGCTCTCGGACACCCTCGGGTCGGATCGCTTCTGTCCTCCGGGTCGAATCTGTGAAGGTCTTCTGGAGTTCTGCTGCAGACGGCAGGTTTCGGCCACTTTGTGAAGGCACCAGCACCTCCGAAAGTTTGAAGGCAACTTGTCGATATGAGGTTTTCGATGATATCCAAAAGTTTTGCACACATGCCTTCCCAGTTTGTGTCGACCAGTCTGTCGACAGGCTTCCGAGAATGCATCGGTGTTCCCGACCCAGCGTTTGGTCACCCCAAGCCATTCAAGTGGACAGTCCGGATAGTGCTCACCCATGGCGCACACACATATACATACACGTGTAATGCATTGCTGTGTTTTGTCGGAGGCGGGGGGGGAGATCGCAGTGGGACGGAGAGCCCCCCACCAGGACGATCTTTTCGGCTTCGTGTGCTAGTCATCCGTGCGGGCGAGGCGAAGCTGCGTGGGCGTGCGAGAGGAACGACCCCGCCGTCGCTTGGGCGATTCGGATGCAGTGGACCCCCTCTCCGCCCCCGTTGGGCGCGCGGTGGCCGGGGCGCCGCGACGTGGTGTCCTGTGGTGTCCCGTTGATGTCCCGTTGGTGTCCCGTCGGTGTTCTGTTTGCGGTGGGTGGGCGGTGGCCAGGGGTGTCCCGTTTTGGTATCGATATTGATGTCGGCGATGAGATCGCTAGAATGGGATGGATAGTCTTGGGCGTCTTGGAGGCTTCTTGGGCTGGCTTTGGGCCCGCTTGGGGACTGTTTGGGGGCCTCTTGGGATGTTCTCGGGCCATCTTGGATGCATCTTCGGCGATCTTGAGGCGATCTTGGGGGTTCTCGGGCCTTCTCGGGCCGTCGTCAGGGTGACAAGGAACAAATGCCAGAATCTTCAAACACCAAAGGACAATCCATGATTCTGGCTTCTCCGGGCCCTCCTGGAGGACCTTTTGGAGGCCTCTCGGGCCGTCTTGGAGGTGTCTTGGGGGGCCTCTGTGGCCGTTTTGGGCCGTCTTGGAGGCTTCTTGGGCGAACTTGGCGGCCGTCTTGGAGGCCATATTGGACCATCTTGGGCGAACTTGGGGACATCGTGGCCGTCTTGGAGGCCATCGTGGGCCATCTTGCAGCCATCTGGAGCAGGAAAACCTTTGCAACCACCTCTGGATCAGCTTTCTGGGTGACTGGCGGCATCGGCCGCTGCCCCAGGAAGCGTTAGTTATTTTAGAAAAGAACCAAGAACCATCAGCAATTTTGCGCGCCGAGCACCCCTGTGGCACGACCACAGGGAGCGGCGGATCGAAGACGCCAACGGCGGATCACCGCCGTCCCCTGCCTTTTGGGGAAGCGCCGATGTGGCCGAGAGTTGGGCTAGAGCTTGGCCAAGCTGTCGGACCATGAGTTCCCCGAGTCGGTTTGGAAAGCTTTCGGGAAACACGTGGGGGAGCAATGGGAGGATGATAAGGCGAGGGAGAAGGATGATGATTAGGAGGAGGCTGAGGATGAGGATGAGGATGAGGATGATGGAAAAGGAGGAGGAGGAGGAGACTTCTTGGGAACCGTCTTGGGAACCGTCCAGTACGAGTAGTAGTCGTAGTCGTAGTCGTAGTAGTAGTAGTCGTAGTAGTAGTAGTAGTAGTAGTAGTAGTAGTAGTAGTAGTAGTAGTCGTAGTCGTAGTCGTAGTCGTAGTCGTAGTCGTAGTCGTAGTCGTAGTCGTAGTCGTAGTCGTAGTCGTAGTCGTAGTCGTAGTCGTAGTCGTAGTCGTAGTCGTAGTCGTAGTCGTAGTCGTAGTCGTAGTCGTAGTCGTAGTAGTAGTAGTAGTAGTAGTAGTAGTAGTAGTAGTAGTAGTAGTAGTAGTAGTAGTAGTAGTAGTAGTAGTAGTAGTAGTAGTAGTAGTAGTAGTAGTAGTAGTAGTAGTAGTAGTAGTAGTAGTAGTAGTAGTAGTAGTAGTAGTAGTAGTAGTAGTAGTAGTAGTAGTAGTAGTAGTAGTAGTAGTAGTAGTAGTAGTAGTAGTAGTTAGTAGTAGTAGTAGTAGTAGTAGTAGTAGTCGTAGTAGTAGTCGTAGTAGTAGTAGTAGTAGTAGTAGTAGTAGCGTAGTAGTAGTAGTAGTAGTAGTAGTAGTACAGTAGTAGTAGTAGTAGTAGTAGTAGTAGTAGTAGTAGTAGTAGTAGTAGTAGTAGTCGTAGTAGTAGTAGTAGTAGTAGTAGTAGTAGTAGTAGTAGTAGTAGTAGTAGTAGTAGTAGTAGTAGTAGTAGTAGTAGTAGTAGTAGTCGTAGTAGTAGTAGTAGTAGTAGTAGTAGTAGTAGTAGTAGTAGTAGTAGTAGTAGTAGTAGTAGTAGTAGTAGTAGTAGTCGTAGTAGTAGTAGTAGTAGTAGCAGCAGAAGTGGTAGTAGTAGTAGTAGTAGTAGCCGTAGTAGTAGCACTAGTAGAAGTAGTGGTAAGAATCTTAGTAGTAGTCGCAGTCGTAGTACTACTCGTATTCTTATTGTTAGTAGTAGTAGTAGTAGTAGTAGTAGTAGTAGTAGTAGTAGTAGTAGTAGTAGTAGTGGAAGTAGGAGTTGTAGTAGTAGGAGTAGTAGTAGTAGTAGTAGCATCAGCATCAGCAGTAGTAGTAGTAGTAGTAGTAGTCGTTGTAGCTCGTATTTGCATATGCGTGTGTACTTGTATGTATATTCATGTGTATATGTATATGTGTGTATATGTCTGTGTATATGTACGTGTATGTGTATGTGTATAATTCCCCGTATACGGGTACCTGGCGTGCTGGACATACGTTGGTGCAACCTCGGTGGTTTTTTAGAGCCTCTTGGAGACCTCTTCGGAGCTACCGTGCAACCAGGTATGGGGTCCTTGGAAACCTGTTTCACCGTCCCAGGAATGTCTCAAACCGCTTATGTGACCGAAACTTGGGTCAGAGCTTGGCCAAGCTATCGGACCATGTGGTTCCGAGTTGGTTTGGAAAGCCTTCGGGGAGCATGGGGAGAAGGAGTTGGAGAGTGAGGAGAGGGAAAACAGGTAGAAGAGGCACACGAGGAAGAGGATGAGCAGGAGGAAGAGACCTTCTGATAACTTCTGGGGCACATGTGGGCACCCCTGACAGCTCTCTGAGGGTCTTTTGGAGGCCTCTCGGGAGCCTCCTTCCTTGGGGCTCTTGGGGGCCTTTGCACTCTTGGGGCCTCCTGGGAGCTTCCTGGTGCCTCTGCGAGGCCTCTTGGGGGACTCCTTGGGCCTCTTAGGGGGCCTTTCGGGGCTTCTTGGGGGCCTCTTTGGCCATCTTGCCCGTCTGATGCCGTCGGACGCCGTCGTGGGGGCCTCGCTGGGCCGCCTTGGGGCCTTCTTGGGGCGGTTCAGGGCCGTCTTGGAGACCATCTTGGGCGTCTCAGATGCTTCTTGGGCCGTCTTGGGGCCCTCTTGGAGCCGTCTTGGGGGCTCTTGGGCCGTCATGGGGCCATCTTGGAGGCTTCTAGGGCGATCTTGGGGCGACCTTGGGGGCCTCTTGGGCCGTCTAGGGCCGTCGGAAGGCCGAAAAGGCGCAAATTCCATAATCTTTCAAACATCAAAGGGCAATCAATGATTTTGGCCTCGGGCCTTTCTGGAGGACCTCTTGGAGTCCTCTTGGGCCGTTTGGATGCATCTTGGAGGCCTCTTGGAGGCCTCTTAGGCCGTCTTGGGCCATCTTGAGGCTATCTTAGGCCGTATTGGGTGCATCTTGGGCCGTCTTGGAGGCGTCGTGAGGCCACCTTAGTTGTGTTGGAGGCCACCTTGGCCGTCTTGGAGGCATCTTGAAGGCCATCTTGGGCCATCTTGAGCGAAGAAGCCGATGAGGCAGGCAGCTGGCGGGACGGGCCGAAGCCCCAGGGGGAGGAGTTCTTGTGGAAACAGAACCAAAACCAGAACGTAAGAAATCCAGCACACCAGGCACCCTTGTGATGAATCAACAGGGGGCGGCGGATCTAAGGGCCTTCGGCCCATCCCGCCACCATGCCTGGGTTGTTGGCCTGAGGCTTCGTGGAAGTTCGTTGGGATCCCGTGCGATGCCTCTCTTGGACGCAGTTTTGAAGCGTCTGGGGGGCCGCCTTGGGGCCTCTTGGGGCCTTGTTTGGGCCTCTTGGGGGCCTCTTGGGGCCCTCTTGAGGCCTCCTTGGGCTCTCTTGAGGCGGAAGGCTCGACTTTTCTGTTCGTGGTTCCCCTCTTGGGCTTCTCTTCGGGCTGTCATGGAATCCTCTTGGCCGGTCTTGGGCGCATCTTGGCCCGTCTAGGGGCCCTCATGGGCCGTCTTGGGGGACTTTTGGGGGCCTCTTGGGCCGTGTTGGGACGATCTTGGGGGCCTCTTGGGCTGTCTAGAAGCGTCGGGAAGCCGAAACCGAGGGAACCACCAAAACCGTCAAACCCCTCAGGAAAGTCTGCGATGTTGATGGCCTCTTGGGGCCTCTTCGGGCACTTCTTGGAGACCTGTATGAGCGTTTTCGATGCCTCTTGGGCCGTCGTGTGGCCATCTTGGGCGTCTTTGAGTGATCGCTCGGCGACTCGGGGCCTCCTAGGACCGTCTTCGAGGCCTCTTGCTGCCCTCTTGGCCCGTTTCCAGGCCCTCTTTGGCCCGAACATGTAAGGCAAGAAGCCGCGGGGCCCGGGGGAACCGCGGGGAAACCAAAGAGATCTGCGAACTTTGGGCCCCCGCCCTTCCTCAGGATCGAAGATTGAGGATCAGGGGATGGAGCAAGGAAACTGAGCACACGCCCACTTCGTGCCCAGCGGGACGGTGGCGGGATATACAGACTCGTCCTTGTCGGTAACTCGTGTCTCGTCGATCCACATTGTCGGTACTCCATCGCCTCATGCTGGAGCAACTTGTGAGGAACTGCTTCGGTGGAGCTGTGAGCTTCTCAAGGGCTCGGTATTGCTAGAACCTCGAAGCGCGCGAAACGCGCTCGTTGCTAGTATGTGTGCGTATATTTATGCATATATAGATACATGTACGTATAGATGCATCCGGCTAGCTGCATTCTGGGCCGTGAGATGGATAGGCCGATGGAGTTGATATTTGGTGTGCGATCGTGCACATGCCGTACCACAATGCACACGTCTGAGGCCGTACACCGATATATGTTGCTTCGTGGCGGTGTCCATCCCAAACCGAAGGCTACACACATCTCAGTAAGATGTGTTTGGGCGTTTTCGATCCGAGCAGGGCGGCTTTCACAGACTCGATCGGCTGTGACAGGCCAGCACTCGATGCGCCAACCATCTTGCGGAGCCCTGGAGGTACGACGACGGCTGGGGTGGGGCTGGCGCGTATGGCGGCGCCTACGGCGCCGCCAGCGTTGGCGCCTACGGCGCGAAAGGCCAGCCGTTGGAGTGGGATAGAGGGGGAGAAAGGTCTGGACATTTGGCTGGCCACAGAACTTTGGACGTCGCCTTCCTTCCTCCTGCGCAATTGTTTTCCCCGTCTCCTGGGGTCGGATGCACGCCGGTCCGGCACTGAATGCTGACCGCGTCCAAGGTGTCCGGGAGATGCCTCCCTATGCTATGTCACAGGCGGCGTCGGGCAGATGGCTGGGGAGCATGAGCCTGTTTCACCCTCTGGCGATAACGGGCGTTACAGGGGCAAGGGGGGACAGAGGGGGAGAGGGGCCTATTGACCTCACGATTTGCGCCGTCGCCGTCTGCGGATTACCTACCTGCAGCCATTCCCTGACAGCGCAGGCGCGAATCGTGACGTTACTAGCGGTGGGAGGGAAGGGGGATGGCCCCAGTAACGGTCGTTGCCGCGAATCGTTGACAAGTGAGCGCAAGATGTCGACCGTGACTTGAACGAATCGCATTGTCCAGAAAATCCTTGCTGCGTTTTGGGAAGTGGTCACAAGCAGGCGATGGCGCTGCAGCCGGTGAGTCAATACGCCTTTGCAAACCTCTGCCTCTTGCCCGATCCGTTCCCCTTTCCCTGCTTCTCCTTTCCCCTCCTCGCCTCCATCCTCCATTCTCCTTCCGCCCGTCCCCCCTTCTCCCCTCTTCCTCCTCTTCCCCTCTCTCTTCCTCTTCCCTCCTGTCTTCACTCTCTGCCAGATCCCCCGATCCCCCCACCCCATTTCGGCGGCGAGCGAGGGGGGGAAGTGAGAAGGGGCGGGCCTTCTCAGAAGGCTCAGAAGCCCCCCGGCCTTCTGAGAATTGTTCCAAGCCTTCCCCGAAGATGCAACAAAAACAAGTCTCAGAAGGGCAGAGGGCTCTTGAAAAGTCCCGCAGCCTTCCGAGAAGGCCTTCGCCTTCTCACTTCCCCGCCCCGCTCGCCGCCAACCTTTTCCTCCCCTCTTCGCCACTCCTCCTTCTCCCTCTTCGTGATTATCCCTGCTCCCTCGCCTCTGCTGCACCCCCTCTCCTCGCCCCTCCCGTGGCCCCCCCCTTCCCCCCCTTATCACCCCCCCCGTCTTTCGCTTCCCCAAGAATTGGTGTTTTTTGTCTTGTGCCCGACGCGGGCTCGATGCGGACTCGGCGCGGATGTGGCGTGGATTCGAGGCGCATTCGACACGGATCCGACGAGTCCGACATGGATTCGGCACGGATTCGACGTGGATAGGGCCGCGACGGGACGGACAAGGTCCCCCGAGGATGCAACATAAGGCTTATTGTTGGCCGCTTTCGCTGGCCGCGCCCCGCTCGCAGAGTGTCCACGTGGTCTTCCGGGGCCCCTGCATCCCTCTCGTGCGTCCTCACTGTACGGGTTGAATGTAGTGTCGCGCCACGTTGACGTGGTGGCAGCCCCAGCACGGGCGTGCAAGGTTGACTGCAGGCAGTGGCCTGGCACCAGTTGGTATCGAACACTCTTGGCTCAAGTTGCCAACGTTCAGGGTTGCAAGATTCACGCGGTGTCCGACACCAGCGACGATATCATCGCGACGTGGACTTGCCGTGGAGTGTGGGCTTTCATCAAGAGATGTTCCTAGGAGGTTTCAGATTCTGGAGGATCCCTTACCTAATGAGGGCAATGCTGATATCCATGGCCAACCCGCGATTGGAGTTCGATTGGCCGACGCCATCACCGCAGCTCCCCAATCCCTCCTTCCCTGGACATCCGACGAAGTGATTTTTCCAATCCGTGCCCCCCGAGGTCCCGGCCCCTTTCCCTGGTGCAGCTGCTCTTCCAGGGTCAATGTTTGATGGTCGGGGGCGCCCAAGCGGGAGGTGCGAACTACGTAGGGGTGTGCGGATGTCACTGCCGGGCCATGATGTCTTCTAGATTTCACGCCCTTCTTTGTCCTTCCACGCATCTGCCGCCCCCCGTTTTCGGGTGTTGCTCGAAGTGCCCCTGGCCCGAGGTGCCCCCAGGAGTTCCAAGGAGGCCACCACAGCGTCCAGAGCCCATCCTCGCGAGGCCCAGAGGGCCCCATAAGGACCCCAGACTGAGCGAAAAGCTGGGGGCACCTTGGGCTGGCCACCTTCAGCAACCCCCGACGTTTGTCCGCGCGCATTGCCTCGGGCCACAATGTGTGCCGACCCCCCCCCTCGGTCCTGCCCCTTCCGTCCGGCACAGCCGAGATGGCCCCCGGGTCCCGAGAACGGCCCCCCAGATTAGGATGCAACTGCTGTGAGATTGAGCTGAGCATCGGCGCCAGTATGTCCGTGGTCCAAAACGGGCTCACTCTGGCATGCTCCCGCCCAAATCCTGCCTGATCCCGCTTAGGTGTGGTTTCATCCTGTGCCGTGTGCTGGGCTGGTCCGGCTCCATGGCCCTTTCATCGCTTTGGATAGCCCGCAGTCTTGCGACGGCCTCCCTGGAGCTGCCTCCTAACCCAAAGGCCGAGGTTAAAATCAGAACGGCGGGACTGCACGAATCAACCCGCCGTGCTCCCCCCTCCGAGAACCTCCCAGAAGGGATCTGGAGGATCGCGCCGCATCGCCGATGCATCAGCGACTGGGCTGAGGGGAAAGGAGGAGGGAGGGAGAGAGGGAGGGAGGGAGGGATGGAGGGAGGAGGAGGAGGAGGAGGCGGAGGAGGAGGAGGAGGAGGAGGTGGATGGACGAGCATGATGGAGGAAGGAGGGGGAGGAGATGGAGGAGCAGGAAGGGGAGGAGGGGGAGGAGCGAGGAGGAGGGAGGAGGAGACGTAGGAGAGGAAGGTTCTTTTCCATTCCGACGGTTGTGTGGGTCACCCTCCCCTCTGGAGGTGCTGGCGCCTACGGGGGTGGATGCGTCAAGGGCGCCGCCGGCGCCGCCGGCAAGGGTGCCGGAGCCGGCAAAGGCGCCCCACGGCGTGTGGCAAGAGCATTTCTTCGTCATCTATCGTGCCATATCAGGGCAACGCTAGGTTGGGATACCGTCGGACTTTCGACCACAAGAAACCTTCCACAAGAAACCCAACCCTGAGACCCCAGGACGTCCATCTGATTTCTGGGGTGGGAACGTCACGCTTTCCATCGCAAGACCATCGACATCCAGGAAACCGGGGGCACCCTGGATCAGAGCGTGAATTACCTACCCCTCTTGCGCTTCCCGGGAAAAAGAAGCCATGCCGCGCGCCTCCTCGTCAAGCGGCCTGACCAGTACAGGCCGTAGTTTGGCATCCCTTGGTATCTTTTGGAAGCGAGGGTGGTCAAAAGCGAGGTAGATTTGGGATGTTTCGTGGCATGGGTTTCGACTGTAGACCGAGTGGGGGATGCATCGGCCGCGAAGCGCCCATGGATCACCAGAATCTTGGCATCGCTCGGACATGTGCATTGTTCCTTCGGCGAGGACCATCGAGGAGCATGCTTGATCACTTCGCGAAAAAACCACGCACGAAACCGAAAAAAAAACACAGGAAATGGACGTCCGAGCGATGGCCAGGAATGGGCCTGACTAATCGGCGATGTGTCGCGTCGATTCAAGGCCGAGGTTGCCCCCCTGAGCCAGTCCCCACCCCCTCAAAGAGCGCTCCTTCTCGAGTAGGGGATCGATTACATTTACCCCACAATTAATTTCTCCATCGGATCTAAGACAAATGCGTAGACTGTTCGCAAACATACACTGGGAATTCAACGCATGTTCTGTAGATCCGACGAGCTAATTAATTCTGGGGTGAGTCAATTCTGTAGTCGATCCCCTCCTCGGCCTTTGTTTCTTATTGTTCAAAATTTCAAAGGACCTCCACCCTACCAAGCCGATTGGTGCATTGCCCTTTTTCGGTTCTCGAGAGGGTGCCCGCAGCTTTTGCAGGGTTTTGCGCCCGCTGGGTCTGGTCCCAGGGGCGGTCTCACGAAAGGGGGCTCTGTCCACATCCGAGTTCTGCGATGCAGCGTCGAAGACCGAGGATCGATGATCGAGATCTGGCGATCGAGGATCGGGGCATGGGGCGTTCGGATGCAACTCCTGGGAGGTCAAATTCTGATTTTGCCTTGGTCCGAAATTTGGCTTAATCCGGTTTAATCCCTCTTAAGCCGGCTTAGTCCCGCTTAATTATGCTTAATCTGGCTTGATCTCGCTTAATCCCGCTTAATCCGAGGCCCACTCCGGCGTAACAGCCCCCCAATGGGGCTTCATCCTCCTTAGTCCTTCCGACGAAGACCTCCCAGTAGTTGCCTCCTAAGGGGCGGAGGGGTCCCGAGGGAAGCAGGCCTCGGGCGGCGGCGCCGGCACGGTCCCGGGACACTTCCTCTCTGCAGTCGCAGCGGGTGCACGAGCGACCGGCCGGCAGGCACGGGTGTGCGCCCACATCGCACGGCGGCCAATCCCTGAGAGAAAGGCGGGGGAGCGGGTCCAAACATTTCGTGAGAAAGATAAGAAAGGCGAAGGAGGACATAGTAGGAGGGCGGCTCGAGCAGAGTGGGATCACCGGCCAGCAGTCCACCTTCTGTAGCCGCCCTCCTACTTGCAGAGTCGAGCGGTTTTCCCCCTTCCCTGCTCCTCAAGGGGGCGGGCGGAGAGCCAATCTACATTCCGCATGCAACGGCCCATGATCACCAGTTCCTGCGCCGGTCCCCCCGTTATCGGGGCACCCTGGCGCCAGGAGCACCCCTGCATCCCCCAAGTCTTGGCGACGCTGCCGGGGGCCTGGGGGGAAAGCACGGGGCGCTCCTCTGCTCTCCCTGCGCCCAGGCTCCGCATCTGGGGCGTTCCAGAGCGAAATCCTCCTCCTCCCCCTCCTCCTCCGCCTCCTCCTCCTCCTCCTTCTGCTCCTCCTCCTCATACTCCTCCTTTCCCCTATAAATAATTCCTCCCTGTCGCGCCCCGAGGCCGGTCGATAATTAGGGTGGGCGCGGCGTTTCCGCCGTCCAGGAGTCGAACGGTGGACCGCTCTTCCTCGGCGGAAGGCCGGCGGAGGCTCGCGGAAGTGCAACGGGGGCGGCCGGTGGAATCGTAGATCAAGAGCGGGCGTAAACATACATTTTCGGTGCTCCGCGCGAATTTCTCGGGTCTGCGCCAGGCCCGGGTGGCGGCGCCGGATGTCGCGCGCCAGGGAGTGGCGCCCGACGCACATCCAAGAAATCTGGGCGGAGCTCCGAAGGGTTGCGTTTAGGACGTTTTTTGTTATTCTTCTATCCTCTGCTCCCTGTGCACAAGGCTCTGCACTTGGGCCGCTGCAGAAACAGAGAGAGAATCCCGCCCTCAAACGGCCGAGGGCTGGGCAGCGCTTCCTCGGTGGAAGGCCGGCGGAGGCTCGCGGAAGTGAAACGGGGGCGGCGGGCGGAAGGAGCCGGGTCTCGAATCGGGGTTCAAGAGAGGGGGGTCAGGGCAAATGGGGGTCAATCAGAGCGCCAGATGTTGCAGGATCCTGCGTAGCCAGGGTTGCATTGACATGGGCTTGGGCGCAGGATCTTGCAGGATCCTGCCAAGCCTGACTGACCCGGGTTAGCACTGACCCAGATCAGTAGATCTCCGATCGAGGGAAGCGGGTCCTGCAGGTCTTGTTGTTTTCGCCGCGCCCTGGGCCTTTATTGGGCCCCGGGGCGTATACAAAGCGACTCGGGCTGAAAAGCCAGCCGAATGTAAGGTTCTTTGTGGCAAAATGTTGATCGCACGATGTGCGATCCATGTTCTTATTGCTTCTCCAATTCCTGGGGCCTCCTGTCGAGGATCAATCACGAGGGAAGGTTTTGTTGTCCTCTTCGGTCGGACGAACAATTTGTCCAAGGAAGTTTTCGAGAGGTCCGGGGGCCATGTAGTGAACAACACATGCGACGTCGGATCTCTGGGTTCCGGCCAGATGCCGATTCTACTTTGCGTGGTTTGCCCTCCTCCTTCTCCTCCTCCTCCTCCTCCTCCTCTCCTGCTTCTGAGGCTGCCGCTTTCGAGTCAGGATGTGTCAATTCTGGAACGCAGCCCACTGGAGATGCCGGTCTTGTCCGCGGAGTGCGAACGCACACTTCTGGCGTGGCGCAGTCGTCCTCTTCAAAAGCAGCTGCTGATCGTACCCTGCGACGCGAACCCTACCCCTGAGGGTCCAATCGATACTGGAGCATTGGATACCTTCGCTGGGGTTCAACTGGCTGCAGACATCCTGGCGTGCCCGCCAATGTTTCAGTAATCTGACCTGCAGGGATGGGCTCGCATGTTGTTGCCTAACATCGCTCTTGTCGTCCCACGCCCTCAGGTGGTGCAGGCAAGCCTGGCGGGACGCTGATCAAAAGCCTCCTGCAGCGCGCCTGAGGGAGGCCCTGCTTCTTTGGCCTTGCGAGGCCTCCTCAGCTACATCCCTCCTCGAAGTCAAACGCAAGTTTTTCTCGCGACGCGGCGGCGCCCCAGGGCGCCAACATGTCAGCGTTCGCGCCGAAGTTGGTGACTGCAAGCACAAATCAGAGCCCGTGGGCCGCATTTTTACGCGTCGATCAACATTTACAACGTTGCGTTTGATTTCGAGGAGGGATGTATCGTCTTCCTCTTCATTCTCTTGCCGCTATTACCACTGAGAGGCTTGTCCAAGGGGAGGCAAGGAAAGGGGAGGAAGGGAGGGGAGGCGGGAACGGAGGAAGGGGAGGGAGGGAGGGGAGGAAAGGGAGGGGAGGAGAGTGGAGGGGGGGCAGAGAGGTATCCAGGCATCTTATGTCCGCGGCGAGCGAGGGGGCAGTGAGAAGCAGGAGGCTTTCTCAGTTCTCAGAAGTCTCGGAAGTCCCCAGGCCTTCTGAGAAGTCTTCTGAGCCTCCCCCGCAGACGCAGAGAACATCTCGGAAGGTGCGAGGGCCTCTGAGAAGTCCCGCCGCCTTCTGAGAGGGCCCTCTCCTTCTCACTTCCCCCCCCCACCTCGCTGGCCGCCGACTCTGTCCTGCCCTTGTTCCGTGCCTTCCCCGGCGCAGCTGGAACACCTCAGGCATGCGCTGTTTGCGGGAGCTGGCTCGCGGTCCGCAGCATTGGCACCTTGTTGTTCACCACCCACCGAACCACCCCAACCCAACCCGAAGGCCTCAATTTGCCCTCCATTTCCAGTGGGGGGGGGGCCGGGGAACATCGAAAGAAAACACATGGAGCCCATACCCCCCCCCAACCCGAAATTCGGGTCTTCGGGTTGGGTTGGGGTGGTCTGGTTGGTAGTCAGCTGTCTGGAAGCAAATGTCTCATGCCTTGCCCCTGTTCCGCACGGGGTCCCCGGCAGTCCCGCGACCCCCCTTTCCCCCCCCCCCGAGCCCGTTCCGCGGCGCCCTCGAGCCGGACGCTCCGGCGCCCAGGAGCCGAGAGAGCGAGGCAGGGCCTCCTTGGGGCTTCCAGTGGGCCTCTCGGAGGCCTCCCTGGGGGCCTCCTTGGGGGCCTCCTTGGGGGCCTCCTTGGGGGCCTCTCGGGGCCGAGGGCTCGAAACGTCCATTCTGGCCCCTCGTCTGGGCACCCTCTCGGGCCGTCTTGGGGGCCTCTTGGGGCCGGCCTCTCGACTTGCCCAGGTGCAGCGAGCCAGGAGAGCATCCCGGAGGCCTCGCTCGGCGCGCAGTCCAGTGGAGGCCCATGCCAGGAGACGCCCTGCCTGCCTCCAGGGGTGCCCTGGGTTTCTCGGATTTAGATGGTCTTGCGATGGAACGCGTGACGTTCCCACGCCGAAAGTCAATGGACGTCCTGGGGTCTCAGGGTTGGGTCTCTTCTGGAAGGCTTCCTGTGGACTAGCCCCCACTGCAGCTGTTTCATCTACTTGGTCCACACGTCAGCCCCGTCAGATGCGGAACGACGTTCGCGCTGCGATGCTCCAGCGCCCACCCCACGCGCATATCCGGCGCAAATCCGACGTGGATCCGATGCAAATCAGGTCTCAAGTTGCGGCGCGAGGCCTCCAGGATGTGCCTCACGCGTGGGACGCATGGGGTCAAGGGCATAAAAAACGCCCCTACTCTGGTTTACGAGGCGCTGTGCGCTGAAACTCCTGTGGGCTGACAGGGTAAACCCTGCGTGATGTGCCGCGTCCTGGCGGCTCTAGGCGTTGGGGGTTCCCAGGAGGTTTACAGACCACGCACTTGTAACCCAGGGTAGGGTCGTTTGTTCATCCCTCAATGGGGAGCGAGGGAGGGAACTCGGAGAGGAGGGACGCATGGGATGCGCCCTGCCCCGGCAGTCCGCACGCCTGCGCCGGCGCACACGCCCCACGCGAGCTCGGGGGGCAACGCCGGGCCCGTTGGCACTGCGCGCCTACGCGCGGAGCCGGCCTCCTTTCGGGGGTTGCCAAAGGTACCCCTGGCCCAATCGGGCTGGACGAAAGGGGGGGATTGTGAAAGGAGGGGTTACGAAATCTGCTCCATGCAGCTGGTCTCGGCCCCGCCGAGGGGCCCATTCCTCGATACATGCGCGCCTTGCGGCGCCGGGAGGCGCCGGGAAAATCAGCTATGCGAGCTGATTCTCAACCCCCCCCTTTGCTATCCCCCCCTTTCGCCCGGCCCGACAAGCAGTGGCGAAGCGTCCTGGCTTGCTTGTGGGCCTGCCAGGGAGTGTTCTAAGAACCTTTTGTGGTCTGCACGTGCTGTTCTCAGAACACTTCTGGCCGAACTTGCGGTGTTCTTACTCATCGGGCTCATGTTCTAAGAACATGGTGTTTGTTCTGAGAACTCTGTTGGGTTTTAAGAACATGTCGCGGTATGCCTATAGGAATGTCGGGGCGATCGGTCCCTGCTCAAAAGGTGCCCCCAGCTTTTCACCGAATTGTGGAGCCCATGCGGCCCTCATGAGGGGTGCTCTGGAGGCCGTGCTGGGAGGGCTCCCTGGAGATCCTGGGGGCACATCGGGCCAGGGGTACTTCTAGCAACGTCCGACCCTTCTTGGAGAGAACGCCATAGAGAACGCTATTTCTACCATCTTTGTTCGGGCTGAGAAAAGGCGCGCGCCCGTCGTCCGTGGAGACCCAGACATTCAGCGACTCGGACGCGCGTCTGCGGAAGTACTTCGTCTTCCTGGGCATTTTTAGAAACGTTCGACCCTTCTTGGAGAGGTCGACTTAAACAACGCTATTTCTACCATGTTCGTCCGGGCCGAGAAAGGGCGCGCGTCCGCCGTCCGCAGAGACCCAGACACGTTTAGCGTCTCGGGCGCGCGGCTGCGGAAGGTCTTCGCCCTCCTCGGCCTCGGGGAGGAGCCGCCTTCGCGCTCCCCCAGGCCGTCACGAGATGGGGGTGGAGCGCGGGCCCTGGGGGAGGGGGTCGGGTCTTGTGGAGACCCCGTATTCCTTCACCTCCGAGGTCGCGTTTTTCTTCACCATGTGGGCCCCTGGGGATCTTCTCTCCTTCCATGGGGCCAGGTCTTCATCCTGCGCAGTTTCTTGAATGTCCCCTGGCCGTGGAGCGGCTTCCAGGGGCCGCAGGTGCAGACATTTTGCCGCTTCGTTTCTGTTGCGGCCTTCGTTTTTGTTGCGGCGATCGGACCTGAGGGTTGACAAGTCGAGACGTCGGATGTCTGGGTGTCCAGCATCTCCAAGGCCGTGGACACGTGCGCGCCCCTCCTGTCACGGCCAGCCACGCGCAGGGGGGGCCAGGGGGATAATGAAAGGCTTCTCAGAAGAAGGCTGCTTCTGCTTAGAAGGCGCTGGCCTTGTCTGCAGACGCAGGGCCCGCGCCTTCTAAGAATCACCTGTGCTTCTAAGAAGCCTACCCCGACCCCCCTTGTGCGCGCCGACGATAAAAGGCCGTGATCAGATGAGCGACGCAAAAGAACCGGGTCGTCTTCGCCGACGTTCGCGCGTAAGCTGCTCGCGTAAGCTCGCGCGTAAGCGCCCTCGTCTCCATCCTGGCGTGCCGCGCCAGCGGCCCGCGTGAGCCACCGCGTAAGGTCGCTGTGCCATCTCGCGTAGGACCCCTTTTTGTGATCGTCGCTCAGATGCGCGCCCCTCATGCTACGGGGCTCGGCCCTCGATCCCGGGGCTCGCACTCAAGGCTGCTTCTTCGCCTCGGGCGGAAGGCCTGCGGCAAAGCGGGGGTACATCTGGACCTCCCCCCCTCAGGGCAACAAGTGAGGCGTGAGGCCAGCAATGAGGCGTTCCGAGAAGGGCCTTGCCTTCAAGGGTCGAAGGAGCCGCCATCTCTTCCTCGGCGGCAGGCGGCGGAAGTAAGACGAGGCCGCCTCCGCCGGCGGCAGCTGGCGGAAGGGCGGCGGAAGGGCGGCGGGAGGTGGCGGAAGTAAAAAATGTGCCCCCCAGAGATGACAACATTTTTGGGTTCATGGTTTCTGGAATCCGCCAAACGGACACTAGGTTTTTTGAATCGAAATCCCGTCGAGGTTTTGAACAGTCCTGGTAGGTCCATTTCGGGCGGGGCCAGAACGAGCATACATCCGTTCCAGAGTGTTCTGGAGCGCTCTCAGAGCGTTCCGGAACGCTCGGAGAAGGTCGGGGTGCACGAGACACCCTCCAGAGCCGCCAGATCTCAGAGATTTTCGATTTTCTCCCCACCCGATGTCATCATCGTCGTGGTTTCGTCTTAACCTGGAGCAGTTAGGTCCAGTACATTCAGGATCGTTTGCTTAGCGTGTCGTGCCGCCAGTTCTGGCTCGCTGACCACGTCCCAGTCTTCAAGCATCAACGTCCCGAGCTGCTCCCAGCTTCCAGTCGCATGATGCAGAAAGACACGCTGCGAGCTCTCTGGGCATGGCGTGTCGCCAGGGTCGCCGCCACGACGCGCTCAGGGACAGTTCCTGGACCGCGAGCAGTCCACACAGGTCTGTCAATCTTCGGGGGCGGCCGAGAGGGGGATGATGACTAGGGGGGTGGATATCATGGCGGGGGCCATGATATCCCCAGATGTCATGGCGCCTCTTCTTATTTCAATGCGTCCTAAGCCCCCCCCTGGGCCGCGCACCTGCCGCCAGCCATGATTTTCGCCCCCCCCTCTTGGACACCCCCCTCTTGGCCGCCTTCGAAGTCTATTCACAGCACTTCGGTATAGGTCCCGACAGGAGTTGCGGAAGAGAGAGCGCGCCTGCCGTTTTTGCAGAGAAGTCGGCGCGCTCGATTTTTGGCCGGTTCGGGCCTCCCCACGTCCCAGCGCCTCGCCACGCACATACAAGTACAATACATCTAAGTAATGTCCTCCCCGCCCTTCCCCTATCGCACCCCGAGCCCCCCCTTCCCTTCAGGAAGTTCCAGGAAGGACAGCGGGGAGGGGGAGGGGGGAGACATGGGCCCTCTCGAGCACTGGAGCTTCGAGCACAGATGTTCCTCCTCCTCCTCCTTCTCCTCCTCCTCCTCCTCCTCTTCCCGCGAATGGAGAGAGATGCTCTACAACAGTTTCCTTCTGCAGTCTGCAGTTAGGTGGGTCGGCACATTGCGTCTCGCTGCTGGGGTTTCACACACAAGTTCTTGTTGTTAGGAAGTAACATTTTGATTATCTGCGCTTTGTTTTAACACGCATGCATTGTTTCAGTGCTGTGGGTTTCGCATATCGGTTCCTACTATGGCGGGTTGCCTTTTCATTCTCTTCGTGTGGGCGTTACGCATTGGTCCACAATGCTGCAGAGGAAGGGAGGGTCT